ATTTTCTGTTTGTCGTTCACACACTTCCTTTTTCAATGTTGAACATTGATCTTCAAGTTCACAATTCTTCATCTCAGCCATATTCTGCTGCTTTCCCATTATGCTTAACTTCTCTTTTTGCTGGGCTGAAACAAATGAAAGTGACATCAACGTGCCAATGTTTTGTTTCATGTTTTTTTCCATGTCACATTTGTCTTTCTGCAGCTGCTGAATCTTCTCACCAAGGAGTTTCTTTTCTCTTTGTTCCTTCTCAAGTTTTTCCTTTGTTGCAGAGTAAGCCAGTTCTAAATGATCTCTCTTTTCGGTAACCAACAGCTTCTTTCTTCTCAGTGACCTCACTGACTTTTTCAAGCTGTCAACTTCATTGTTCACATTGTCATATAGTAACTGCAGATTGTTGTTCTTATCGTGTGATTGAGATAGTTCATCCTTTATCATGTTAAGCTTTTTTAAAGTAATTCCTAAATCAGCAGATAACTCACTTTTATCCTTTTCAGTGTTATCTAGTTTATTTTCCAGACTAAGCAGATTCTTTTTAATTTTTTTCAATTCAGTTTTCAATCCTTCATTTACATACTCTAATCTTCCAATCTCCTTTTTCCATGGCTCAGAATCCAGGCGGTTTTGTTCTATGTAATGTTCATACAACAGGAACCGGGTTTTCATATCTACACACACATTCAGTAGTTCATTCATTCTTTCTTGAATAGATGCGACATTGGCATTGCATTCACCAAGTTGAGCAGAACGTTGCCTTAAAATACTCCTTAACTTCATATTCTCTTTGCCCATGATGTTTCGTTCCTGTTGTTTCCACAGAGTTCGGTCATCACGTCCTTGCCATGCCAATTCCTCCAACCAGAAGTCACTGTCGTCCGCAAGCACGGACTCCAGCGATAGTTCTAAAATGCCCACACTGTTCTGTAGCTCTTTATATCTATGGTCTGTTTTTTCTATAACATGGTACAGCTCAGATCGTGCAGTTTCTAGACCATCTGCTTGAGTATTTATACGTGATTCATCTCTTTGACTGTGATCCCAAGAACACTCAGTACCTTTAAAAGCTGACTTCCCAAATGTGTCTGTTCTACTATTCAGTAATCCTTCGACAATTATTGATAGATCTTTCAGAACTGTGTCGATATTTTTGGCATTGATACCATCACCTTCAGAGTTGGTGCTGTCTATATTCTGTAAATTCACTTTTTTTGATGCGGTCCTATAAGATACAATTGAATGATAGCACTAAGACAGGCGTGTACAGTAAGATACTAACTAGTATACCATATGATTGTTAATACATCACATGACGACGTTAATTTACATGGTCAGATGATAAAGTGTCAGTCACGTACCAAATGCATAATGCTGCAATGTTGATAATCGATTTGTTTGAGGTTTCCTAAATTCCCTGGTTGTTTACCAACTATGAGTGAGGGAATCGTTTTAGTTATTTTAACTTATACAGTTTTATTCCGCACACGTTGACTCTGTATTGCAAACATCCAATGTTACCTTTTAAAGCTCACAATCCTTCCATAAAATATAGAAAACGTGTTCAAAATACATACACTCATACACATTATTAAGTGCGAGAATACGCGTTTGTTGAACTCCTCGCGATGTTATGACGTCAATACAGCGCTATGATGTCTGTTTTTTTACGTTCGATTTCACGCATAGCGCGGGATTTCACATTGAACGTATTGCGTTACTTGCTTTGTGGGTAGATTGTTGTTGATCTACAATAACATTAATTGTTATGATTTAAAGTTCCTTTGAGTTAAATGTAAAATAAACACCATTTGTACCCGTGTTGTACACAGTAGCCAGTAACCATAACATTTCTTTTAAGGCAGTTTGAACTTAACTCAAATTAAGCTCTACTGAGCATGTTACTGCACATATATGCAATGTATTATGGGAGATAACCACTTATTGTATACAATGGAAAAGTATTAATGCCCTAGAAACGCATTAAATAATATGTCAGTTTTTTAGACGTTTCCACTATACATGTGGGTGTGGTATTTCGGGATTGTATGAGTATCTGGGTTTAATGTTGTCAAGTAAAGTGGCAAGTTACAACTGTTACAGAAACCTGGCTACTAAAGTCTGAAAAGATGTTTGTACTCTCGTTGATCACGAGAGTGATAGATCCACCCCAACAGTGTTTCATCCCCCCTCCCGTCATCACGTCCACTTTGTTCTCCTGATCGATGTAGCCATGGTATTCAGAACGGGGGGAATGGGGCAATATTGGAGGGACAAAAGCAAATCTCGTGGCATTATATTATTCGGTAGTTATGCGTGTTGTTTATCTAAACAACCTAAATCCCGACATTGTAAAGTGGCGTTCGATTTCTGCTTCGGGACACGCTAAACGTTCGCTGGTTCCCGGCGTCCTTTGCGAATGGCAGGTAGGAC